ATCAATATTATGGAGGCTACAGTTGTCTGTCAAATATGAAACATTTTTAAAGTGCAATTTAAGATCAAATTCATAAGATATTTAAAAAATTGTGGCTTTAAACGCCAGTATTTCCATTAGTAATAAGTTGTATTTCTTTAAGAAAATCTAGGAAAATCAACGCCATGCTACTGAAAAGATAAAAAAGATACAATTGTTTACAGAGTAAAAAAACAATATCATCTTCATGTCTGTTTGCTTTCCAGCTGGTGAGGATGGACTATACTGAGGTCAACATCGATCAGCGCTTCCACAGACACCTCATTGGAAAGAACGGAGCAAACAGTGAGGAGCTTGATCTCTTTTTGTTTTCTAAATCATTTTGCTAAACAAAACTAAAATCATTCCTACAGATTAATTACTTTGTTGTTTCAAGTATTTTTGTTTTCAGTTATCTGAGGTGATTGTGGTTTAGAGCTAATGTATCCAGTATTGTTTTAGGGCTCCTTTTGCTCGAGTTACTTGATGGCAGCCTGAGGAGATGATCAGTCCTTTCATTAGCTGGTTGTTTCTGGTTCAGGAGTGGATGAAGGTGACCGTTACAGATATAGTCAGTAGATATGGATCCTTCTTTATGTTGTGGGTGTTGAAGCGCTGACTATAAGTTTAGTAGAATCTTAACTTTTCAAAGGGGTTTATCTGCTGAACCAGAACGAGGTAATCTCGGTTGATTATAAAGGTACCATGTAACTTTATTGATACTAGAAGGTCAAATGAAAACGGTACAAACCTAAACATTAACAGAAACTCCCAGCGGCTCTCTGAGCTTGATTAAAAGAGAAAAATACATTAATAAGTATGACCTATTTAATATCCCCAAGACACAAGAGCATGCTACAAGCAACATTATAGAGAGAAATAAATAAAATAGGGAAAACCTAATGACTGCTAGAGTAAATAGAAGCCCATTAAGATTTATTTAATAGAGAAAGAATTGCAGAGGCAAAGCTATTGCTATAGTGAGTGGTCCTAACTCACAGGACACTGAACCTCTGTTCAGAGGAAAGCTACCGAAACTCACTATCTGGTGTACAGCGAATGTAAACACAGCTCTGACTCCCCAATAAGACTACCAAACCATTAAATGATCTGGTTCAGTGAGTTCCTTCCTTTCAGGATCAGATTTAATAACTATATGACACGAGTGAAAGGGTTAAAACTGACTCAATGAAGGCCCGATTAAAAAAAAAAAAAAGTGTCATCAAGATCCTACCAATATAGAAAACAACAGTAGTCCTTTTTCCACTATTGTGTTTTGATAAAGCCCTCAAAGACACAACCAGTTTGTTCAGCAATGAGCTGTTTTCTGGCTTACCGTCTTTAAAACAACCTTTATAGTTGAAATGTATTTAATGTTTTTTTTTTTTTTGTAGCTTCACTTGGGGTTTTCATTACCTGCAATCAATGGTTACATAAATAACAGACTGGGATCTATCCCACTGTGTGCAATGAATACCTGTGTGACAAGTTTTACATTTATTACTGAAACACCAAAGTTAAACTTTAAGGGCTACCTGTATAGCAGTGTTAATAATGTAGGTCACAGTAGCAGGCAGGATCAAACAATAAGCAGCAGCGATACTGATTCATCTGTTGCAAATGTGATGTCATAAATGATCTGAGTTTTATTGTCGCATATATATTTAGTTATGTTTCCTCTCCTTGATCCGACTTCCAGGGTAGAGAAGAGATCAGATTCATTTCTTTATATTTTTTCATGGCTTTTATCTTTTATTCTCCCTGCAGTCAATCGGATCAAGGAGCAGTACAAAGTTTCGGTGAGAATCCCACAGGACTCTGAGAGGAGCAACCTGGTTCGCATCGAAGGAGACCCCAAAGGAGTGCAGCTGGCGCGCAGGGAGCTCATCGAGATGGTCCAGAGGATGGTGAGAGCGGCTCAAAGGCGTAGGTTGGTTTCCATTGGTTTGAACAGAAACTAAAGAGAGAGCTTCATGTTTCCAGGAAAATGAGCGCACCAAAGACATGATAGTGGAGCAGAGATTTCATCGGACAATCATTGGACAGAAAGGGGAGAAGATCAAGGAGGTTCGGGATAAGTTTCCTGAGGTGAGATTCTCCTCTTAACTGGCAGATCGTCTCACTTTCATGTTCACCTCTTTAACTTTGCTCCCACTTGATTTCATTCTTAGGTCATTATAACGTTTCCCGACCCATCGCAGAAAAGCGACATTGTCCAACTGAGAGGGCCGAAGAACGAGGTGGAGAAATGTGCTAAATTCCTTCAGAAAATCATTGCAGACCTGGTACGAAACCCCCCCCCCCCCGCCTTTCTGAACCCTCCTCCTGCCAATGCCGCAGCCTCACTAACTCTCTTAACTTTCAGATTGAGAACAGCTTCTCGCTTTCCGTCCCCATCTTCAAGCAGTTTCACAAGAACATCATTGGAAAGGGCGGCGCCAACATCAAAAAGGTGAAAACGAAGCAGATCAGGTATGACGAATAAATGTCTCACATACGGCGTAAACAAACCGGGGTGTGTGTTTATTCCGTAAGATCCGCGAGGAAACCAACACTAAGATCGACCTGCCGACGGAGAACAGCAACTCTGAGATGATCATCATCACGGGGAAGAAGAGTAACTGTGAGGCTGCCAGAGATCGAGTCCTGGCCATCCAGAGAGACCTGGTGAGACCATAAACACAGCCTCAAGCAGCAGTTATTTTAACAATGAACTAAACATAATATTTGCCTTAGTCTGGCTTCAAAGTGTGAAAGACAAGAGAACATCTTAAAGTAGGCAAAATGTGTCAATTTAAAGCAAAAGCCTTAACAGGGCTGGATTATCTCCATCACAAACAGCAGAGGATGGTGGTTGAGATTATTATGCCAAAAGTTCAGTTAGAGAACTTCCATTGTTTTCTACTGGAAAATAAAAAAATATAGCTACTTTACCTGAAAGCCTGAGAGACATATTTTTAATCGTCTTTATTTGCCCATTCATTCATCCTGTCCGCTGAACTGCTGCTAGTTTTACTCAAATGCCTGGAAGATGTCTAGTGCTACTACCACAGATGATCTCGCTCTCCAAATGGAATTGAAGGATTCAGATTAGCTAGCCGAATGAATAGAAGGAGTAGAGCCCGCCCGTGGCCCGGGCTGCCTGTCACAACTCCAGTCTGCCGCGCGGATGACGTCATACACTCGCCGCTTTGTTTTTAAATCATATAAATATAAAAAATATAACCGCGGATGTCTGGGGAACAGTGATTCGCCTACATGTCATGAATGCTGGCGTACCATAAAGAATAAATTATGAACAGTTTAGTTTGTGCCTTCAAGTCGTTGCCCATAGGAAGACGTTACTTCGATATAACCTAACGGAATATCTTTAGAACAGCTTTAAATGACACAAAACTCATATGGATGAGTAGAACATGATGTAATAACGTAAAATCAAGGGCCAGATGTAAAAAAACGGCGTTCCCCTTTAAAGAAAAAAGCGGCAATGATGCGTGTTATTCAGAAATTTAGTAAGGATAGGTGGAATCCTGTCACAGTGTGGGTCAGTTAGCGCCATAGCACAACATGCATTCAGGAAGCTTTCATATTCTGGTGAGACATCAAAACAGAGGACCTCATCAACACAAAAATGGATCAACAGACACAAAATCCCCCCTCCATCCACGGCGTCCAGTGGAAGAGCTGTGGGGTGAACCAGATCAGACGCAGGACTTTGGAGGAACAAAGGAGCGATCAAACAGATCTTGCTCTCCAGCTCATAACCTTTGGTTGGAAAGTTAGAATACAAGATTTAATTTCTGATTGTGGCCTCTGACTCTCAAAATTGTTGCTGTTTTTCTAATCAAAGCATCTTAGATTATTCTTTCAATTTAAAAGATAAATGGCTTTAAAGCTTTCATTCTCAAACCTGGACTTTTTATATCATTATTATTACAGGTGTGGGCTTTGATTTATAGTGATCATCATCCTGATAAATTTCTCGTCATGATAATAATTTGATTTAATTGCCTCAACAACAAATTAGTGATGATTTAAAAAAAATTATGAATCGTTAATTTTACTTATAGTATTTTTCTCCTTTTAGTTAACAAATTCAAAGTATACGATTAAATCCAGTAATTATGGGATATTTAGTGATATAAATTACACCTAGGTCAGTTATTATAAAAAAAAAATAAAAATAAAATAAATATTAATGAGGGGGAGAGGGACCTAGTGGTTAGGGCATCGTTCTTGAAATCCAGAGGTTTTGAGTTCAAGCCCGCTCCCACAGACTGCCACTCTGGCTCCCTGAGCAAGACCCTTAACCCCACACTGCTTCTCGTGAGCCACACAATGGCAGCCCACTGCTCCCAAAGGGAATGGGTTAAATGCAGGTAAAATTAGGTAAAATTCTCATCAATAAAGATTAATTATTAATATAATTTATTTAAATTGTGTCCTAAAGAGGCCTATTTTAATGTGTATATTATTTTAAGACTAGTGATTGTGACAGACATACACATCCCTAAGAACGACTTGTAAGAATGAATGAAAAGGGCTTTTTATCTGCAATTTTATTGTTATCATGATAGTACCCACAAAATATCGTGATAGGGTTTTAAATTCCTAGCTCTAAGTTAATTTAACTTAAATTTAACTTCACTGCAAGCTGTGAAGTTAAATGTGATGTTTTGGAATTATATTAAATGAAACGTACATAGGAAGTTTTTGTTTTCCTTTCCAAATTTCTTAGAATTACACAAAATCCTTCCAAATAATTATAAACGAATAGATGAACTTAAAGCGAATCATGATTTATGAAGCAGATGTTCAGAGGCTTCGAGCTCCAGAAGCCTCATAGATCCTACATTCTGCAGTATTTGTGTTTAATATTGTAGAAGCAGTAGGAACAGAAGGGTTTTAATCTATGTTCTCATGCTTTAGTTCTAACAGTTTATCATTTTAAATCTGTTTTTTAGGCCAACATTAAGGAGACAGAGGTCACCATCCCAGCCAAGCTGCACAACTCTCTGATTGGTTCCAAAGGCTGCCTGGTGCGCTCCATCATGGAGGACTGCGGTGGCGTCCACATCCACTTCCCCTCCGAGGGCTCCGGCTCAGACAAGGTCACCATCAGGGGGCCAGCTGGCGAAGTGGAGAAGGCCAAGAAACAGCTGCTGCAGCTGGCGGAGGAGAAGGTCTGTGCAGACATAAGGCATATAATATAATGTAAAAAATGCTGGCTGGTTTCAGACAGAAGAACTGAATTAATCACTCTGTTGTTTTCTCGCTTCCCATCCAGCAAGTGAACAACTTCACCGTCGATCTTCAAGCCAAGCCAGAGTACCACAAGTTCCTGATTGGAAGAGGCGGAGCCAACATCCGCCGTGTCCGGGACAAGACAGGGGCCAGGATCATCTTCCCGTCGCCTGACGACTCTGAGCAGGAGCTGATCACCATCGTTGGGAAGGAGGAGGCTGTACGCCAGGCCCAGAGAGAGCTGGAAATCCTGGTCAAAAACCTGGTAACCGTTTCCCTAATCCCTCTGCTCAACTTCATTCATGGTACAACTTCAGCATAAACATTTTCCCCTCTTTGACAAATTTGACTACGTTTCCAAAGCTTCAACCCGTTCGGAGCCTCCTTTTTTTTCCTCGCCCCCTCCTCTCACTGCCTTCTCCTTTTGCAAACTTCCAGGATGACGTGGTGGAGGACAGCATGGAGGTGGACGTTCGGCACCATCGCCACTTTGTTTGTCGCCGCGGTCAGGTCCTGAGGGAGCTGGCGGAGGAGTATGGTGGCGTAGCTGTCAGCTTCCCGCGCACTGGATCGAACAGCCAGAAGGTCACTCTAAAGGGAGCGAAGGACTGTGTGGAGGCGGCAAAGAAGCGCATACAGGAGATCATCGAGGACCTGGTAGGTCACTGGAAAGATTCAAACCGTTTTTATTGGACAATTTTGCAGAAATGTTTTTACAGTAAGAATTCATGCTAAAAGGTAACATAGAAGTTGTTGCAATATTCCATTATAATGTAGGCGACACCGCAGACCTGTGTTTTTAGCGTTGAGCTTTTAATTCCAACATTAAAACACGGTGATGGCTACATCATGCTGGGGGTTTATGGAAAGATGGACAGAGATGAATACAAGACACTCCTGAAAGGCTGAAAAAGGCCTTTGGCGGAGATTCACCTTCAAATCAGATTGAAGCATAATTCATGTGTTAGAACGGCCTAGTTAAACTTTGGAAGAGTGACATGATTTTAAACTGATCTGTGTCTTGGAGTTGGACTATTAAAAGGAATAGCTTCTATAATTAGCTTGTTTTTCTCTCTCTTGTTGTGCGGCAGGAGTCGCAGGTGAGCGTGGAGGTGGCCGTCCCCCAGCGACACCACCGCGCCATCATGGGGCCCAAAGGCAGCCGCATCCAGCACATCACCAGGGAACATGAAGTCCAAATCAAGTTCCCCGAGAGAGACGACAGCGCTGCAGGTTAGAGAAACAGTCTCTCTAGCTGCTGGTGTTCTCTAGTGTTGTTGTTTTGTTTTTTTTACTTAAGTTTTTATTTGATTTTACAACTTCTAACAAAAATACTATAACTGCAGTAGTCATTTAACTTGCAACCTAACATATTTTATGGGCCCGCAACATATTTAAAAACCAAAACAAAAGCCTGTACAAAACAAAAATACAAAATTCAAAAAAGGAAGAAATAAAAACATTAACATTTTATCCCAGTCGTATTTATAATTAGTCAACAATCGGAACCCAGGATTCATTAGCAGTATTATAGTCATCATTTATTCCAGGAAACATTTTTTCATATGAAACTATTTTAAATATATTCTATTTCCACCTTTAAGCTCAGAAGGAGACTCTCAGAATTAGCCTTGCTGGTGTAATTACCCCTACTTTAACATCCACATACTCTGATTTTCTTACTCCCTGAATCACAGATTTATATCCCAACAAAAATAACCTTGTTACTTTGCCAATCCATGTACCAAGGTGATCTAATACTTGCACCCAGAAAGGGTAGATCTTATTGCATTCCCAGACAGCGTGTATAAAGGATTCCGTGGTTGATTGACATTTCAGGCAGTTACCATTTTTCATAATTCTCCTTCTTTGAACTTTAGAGGGGGTTAGATACCACCTGTGTATGTATTAATACTGAATACTGTGTTTACATTTATTAATAACATATCCCCTTTTGCCTCCTTTACAAATTTATAAGAATCTAATAATATTCTATCCCATTCCACCTTATTTCTGTAACACCCCAAACCATTTTACCAAATAATTCTTAGGTTTTCATTTGTGCCTTTTCTTAAGTTATTAATCAGTTTGTATAAAACTGCTGCCCTATGTCCTCCAATGGACATTTTACAGAAGTCCACAACTGGATTCTCTAGTGTTGTTTGTTAAATCAGGTTCATCCGAACCAGAGAATAAATGTTTTTTTTATGTTTTTTTAAAAAGAATAAATGCTGTTCTGATCGGCTCTCTGTGCTAAAATCAGGTCAGGACAACTTGCCGCAGGAGAACGGTGACGTCAGCCCAGAGGCGGAGTTTGTCCCTCGCAAGTGTGACATCATCACGATCTCTGGACGGGCAGAGAGGTGTGAGCTGGCCAAAGCAGCGCTGCTGGTGAGTACAGTTTGGTAAACAAGTGAAGCGCTGCCTGACCACGCTAATTCTGTTTCTAAATTTTGCAGGCGTTGGTACCCATAACGGAGGATGTGGAAGTGTCTTACGACTTGCACCGCTACATCATCGGCCAGAAAGGCAGTGGAATCAGGAAGCTGATGGAGGAATATGAGGTTAGCAGAAACACAAAGCACAGGCAGGTTCTGGATCACAGATTAGGCTGAAAGGGGGAGCGTCATGAGCTTCTTTACATACAGGTTAACATCTGGGTGCCGCAGCCTGAAAAACAGCTGGACGTGATCAAGGTGACGGGCCTGGCTGCCAACGTGGAGCGTGCCAAACTGGGCCTCCTGGAGAGGGTCAAAGAGCTTCAGGCTGAGCAGGAGGACAGGGTAATCACTTTTATCAGCTTTTCTGTGTCTGTCAACAACTGTCTGGTAGAAATGAGGCTAGGAACAGGCTCTCTGGAAACAAGGTTTCACCAATCTACCTATTGATTTCAGGTCAGACTGAAGCTTTAATCATTTTCCTCTTTAATTCCACCATAATGCTGCCACCTCCATGCCTTTGACTTATTACAGTTATTAGGTCTGGTCTAAAAGCTCAACATTTGTAAAGACTCTGTTTACTGGGAGGCAATCAGCAGTTCCTTAAGGATAGATGCTGAAAACGTCAATGTTAAACTGGCTGCTTTTAATGTTTTGATGTTCTGGAAAAATTTTTTAAAAGTGTGGAACATGTTGCTTTTTCCATGCTATGTTTTTTCTTCTTTTATTATATAAAACTAGCGAGGGCTGCATAAATGCAACGGATTACAATGTTTTAATGAAACAGGCGTCTTTAAATTTATCAAAGACGCTTATCAAAGTCATCAGTTGTAATTCTCTTCCTTAATAATTCAATGTTATCCAATTGCAGAATCTGCAGCTTTATAAAAAAATGAATAATTACTCCTTTATAGTATGACCCCCCCATTCCTGTCAGCTAATTAACAAACAAAGGCAATTATTGCCAAATAAATCTTTAGCTAATAATAATAAAACAAAACTTTTTCTTCTAAGGAATCAATATTTTCTCCAGGATTCTGGTTTTCTTCTTTGCTACAGTAACAGTCAATAAGGCTCGTATTATAGATGGCTAGTAAATAGTTTACAGATATGTTATTAATAAATGTAAACACAAGTAGTTATTATGCACATATTATGGGTGAACAGGAGGGAAAACTGAGCAGTTTCTAGTCTAATAATGAGCCTAATCTGTTAATTTTTTTAAGTTCAACGTTTCAGACTAAGATACTACATCATTAGCACAGCACGCATTTTCAAAATACATTTTTTTTGCAGCATAATTCGTAAAATCATAATAAACAGTTATAAATGAGTTATAAAGGGTTTATAACATGTTTATAAACTGTTTATTAGTTTCTATAAGGGGGGACCCAGCTTAATTTATGCATGGCATGTCCACGAGGTCAGCACAGCTAAACAACGTCATTTTAGCTTCCACTAGGACAGACAAAACTGCGTACCTTGGAAAATATTTAACCTCAAAGCCAGCTCTGTGTGGGGAAAATAACTTGACGAGCAACCTTTCCTTCCAGCGAGGGTTAATAAATATAAACATCTGGAGAAATCTTGGTATGTCGTCCATATCTCACTGTGAGATATGGGCGCAGTGGAAAACACGGCTGCGGTTTGCTGTCACCACAGTTGGCCAGAATATTAGGTACAAGGACGCGTCTCAGTTTCCGTAGGTCAGTTATGTTTAACTGGTCCTTTATGGCACTTAAATGCCGATTTATTTACATTTCCTTTTAAATTGTAAAAGTCAGTCCAGACCTTTGCCTCCAGAAGTCTCTCTCAGTGCATGCTGAACTGCTATTCTCTCTAAGTTCCCTGGAATCTCCTTTCATTAGTATTTTTAGTCAGTCAAACAAATCATTTTAATGTTAAAGTAGAATGTCCATCATCAGTCGATCATGTCAGCCATTGAGGAGTTAAAAGGCTCTGGCCTCATCAGGTTAGGAGGTTTTACTATCTTCTGCAACACAAATTAAAGCTTCAGCTGAGACTGTAGGGATAGTTTTACACACAATTAACCTCTAATTGGCCCCAGATTAATCTAACATTGATCCCAATGAGATGGGCATTAAGACTTAAAAGCACATGTTGGGTCTGTCATCGGAAGAGGATTTTATTTTTATAGCAGTCAGGATAATCATTGCCTAGACTAGTTGATTCCAGAAAAAGTTAAAAACAATCCACTGGATTTTGTTTTCCAAGTTTGAAGACATTTTGCTTCCCATCCAGGAATCTTTTTTCTTAATTTCAAAATGTCAGAATTAGCATGAGCTCCAAGCTTTATAGAATAGCCAAAACAAAGCCTTATTTTGGCTTAAAAAACATACAAATTGAACCAGAAGAACAGGTTCGCCCCTTAGGAATGGGGTTGAGGTCGTTGTTAGCCTGCAACCGCAGGTTTAAAGAGCATCTTTGATGTTTTTCTGTTCTTTGTAGACTAGTTGATGTATACCTTGGTTGCTCTTTTCTGTGAAGTAAGGATGAAATCTCCGTCTCCTCTCAGGCCCTGCGCAGTTTTAAGGTCACCATGTCTGTAGATCCTAAGTTTCATCCCAAGATCATCGGGCGGAAAGGGGCGGTCATCTCTCAGATCAGGAAGGACCATGACGTCAGCATCCAGTTCCCAGACAAAGGAGACGAGCAGCAGGTCTGTGTGGCTTTTATGTTGACCCCCCCACCCCCACCCCCCACCTTGGCTCCAGCTCTTCCTCTATCATCCTCATCTCTCCAGGATCTGATCGTGATCTCCGGGTACGAGCGGAACGTGGAGGAGGCCCGCCAGGCCATTCAGCAGCTGGTGTCAGAGCTGCAGGAGATGGTGAGCCAGGACGTACATCTTGATCCAAGGACTCACGCCCGCATCATTGGCGCCCGCGGAAAAGCCATCCGCAAGCTGATGGAGGAGTTTAAGGTGAGTGACGATGGAGAGCCAGGACGGGTGAGCAAAAACCTACTCCGACCTCTATCATCAAACCACCCTGTTCTTTTCCAGGTGGATATCCGGTTCCCTCAGCCAGGCTCTGATGAGCCCGACAAGGTGACGGTTACAGGCCTTCCTGACTCTGTGGACGCAGCCATAGATCACCTCCTCAATCTGGAGGAGGAATATGTGAGTTTTCAAGTTGGGAAGGATGGACTCTAGAGGTTAAGATCAGACAAATGTATTATTAACTAAGTAACTGTAGCTGTAGAGTTAACCGACTGTCAGATACTTCTGCTACTGCCTGTTAACAAACTGTGCCTTCTTTAACCACTCCACCTCTGGATTCTCCCAGCTACTCAGTGTGACAGAGACAGAGACCTTGGCGGCGTACATGAAGCCTCCGTCTCGCTATGGAGGAGGAGGCGGAGCAGGAGGACTGGACGACGGCAGCGGGGGTCCGGCTAAGGGCTTTGTGGTGCGGGACGCCCCCTGGAACGCAGCAGGGAACAAGGTGGGTGGTCTTGGAGAATGCTTCTGAGCACCTGCGTGAATGTGCTTGGATGATGGAGGGTTTTCGGATGTATATGGTTTGTTTTGATTCTCTGAACACTGCTTAAAACTGTTCCACATTTTATGTAAAAGTTTTTACCAAGAGATTCTGACTGCAGACCTGCAGTGTCAGGACCCAGACCTTCAGAATTGGGTCTCCTGCACTGTCAGGACCAGAAGTTTATTCCGGATGTTGTATTTGAAGCCTTCAGGAATAGCACGCAGCACATGTTTGCTGCCGGATTAGTTTATGACAGAGTTAAACTGAACATAGGAATAGTTTAAGTTATACAGGAAGCAACAATCCTCATAGGACAGCCAACCTCCATTGTCATTTAGAAGACGTCTTTTAGACCAAATGCCCTTTCCATCCAGCGATCCAAATACAGAGACTTATTTATATGTAGCAGATATCTGTTATTCCAGTTAGAAGTTTGGTGGGGAGTAAAATTGTTCATGTACCAACATTTCCAGCATTACAACTCTTGTTTGTGAAAGGAAGCTAGCTTCACGGGGAGCTTATCGACACTAGACTTTACTTTAAAGGGACACTATGCAACATTTTTCAGTTAATTAATGTGTTCCATAACGTTTTGGATGATTAAATGAGTCATTTCAGGT